ACAGATACATTTGATTGAGTATATGTATGAAAGAAAATTTTCCCAATTGACTGGGAGAAGGATTTTTGAGAGCATAATGGTGGTACCCAAAAATAAAAATGCTAATTATAGACCCACATTTAATGTCATAATCAATCTGAAATATTAAATTCATTTTCAAAAACAGAACTGAGTAAAGTTATTCTTCACCATTTCCAAGTTAACAAAATCGTAGAGTTTTATCCATAGCTAAAACCTAAACAAAAATTCAGAAATTTGACAATAACATGAAAACATATAGCCCTGTCATTGTTCTTTTAGCCACATAAAAAACTATTATGATGTACTCTACTTGATGTTTATGTTACTTCACTAAGTAGTTTATGTGTCATCATTTAACCAAAACTTCTAGTAATAACTATTATGATCATATTTTGATTTAGCGAAGTATAAATTGCCAATGTGTGAAGTCATCCAGTACTTATAAAAATCTGAGTCCTAGTGTTCTTATTTTTATGTGTATTATTTGTATGTTAAGTATAATTGTGCAAATGTTTGTGAGTATACATATTTATTTGTATGCAGATATAAAAATAGCTACTATTTATACAGCACTTTAAAGTATACAAAGCATTTCAATATGTTACATCATTTGATACAAAACCCCCAGGAATTTTACATATAAGGAAACTGAGGCACAGAGCAGTTAAGTAATTTGACCAGGGTCAAATACTTAATAACTGTTTGATGCAGGATTCAAACTCAGGTTTTCCTGACTCCAAGTTTTACACTGTGCCAACCAGCTGGCTACATAATATAAACATACAAATGGATACAGTCATATCAATGAATTTTCATGTATATATGAGAATGTGCATATTTATAAGTATGAATTTGTGTGCACATGGTAAATCCCTAATTATCAGTATCTGCAGTTTACATTACTGAATTTCAAGGTGAGTATGGCTTCTTGAAACAGTTTTCCTACAGTCAGGAAGTACACATTCTGTGGTTACAAACTTGTTTTGACACAAACCTTACCAGAAACTTGGTTAAGGCAAATATATTTTAAAAACCAAGCAACAGAGGCAGCTAGGTGGTGCAGTGGATAGAGCTCCGGCCTTGGAGTCAGGAGGACCTGAGTCCAAATCTGACTTCAGACACTTGACACTTACTAGCTGTGTGACCCTGGGCAAGTCACGTAACCCCAACTGCCTCATCAAAAAAAAAACAAAAGAAGAAGAAGAAGTCAAAACCAAACAAAAAAAAAACACCAAGCTACAGCAAATACAATGCAAGTTTTGGTCATCTATTTTGAACTACCTATAATAACATTTCTTTACACTAGTTCAGTGTGCTTTAAATTGACTTGAAAAGGAAAGTAGGTTTTAAAGAATTGGGAAAAGGAAGAAATGTTTTCAATAGTTGGCTCAGTAAGCTGTCTCACACAGACAGAAAAAATTCAATGGATCTATAAGGTGTAAAACAAAACATAATCAGAGAATCAAAGAATCAATGAATCTGAAAGCTGGAATGCACTTGAAAGACCATCTAAAGAATCTAACCTCTGCCTAACCAAGAATTCCCTATATACCACTGACAAGGGGTTATTCCAATCTATGAGCACATACTCCTCCCTCTCAGGAGCAGGATTCCATCATCCCTGGAGGCTGTGCATTTCACTTGTCTACAACTCTAATTTTTTTAATATAAATGTTTGATCGATGCTTTTTGAACTGTTGTCACGTCCAAATAATAATGGTCTCTCTACTCTCCATCCTGAATGCTTCCTTGCAACAAAAATCAAAGTTAACCTAAATTAAGAAACATAATGGTAATGTCTGACAAATTATGCCTCATTCCATACCTATAGCTCACATTTTTCTGCTGAAAGAGAGAAGTATCTTTGTCAGAAGACTGTTTGACAAGCTTCTGGAGAAAAGATTGGTCATTGCCTCAAACATAATTCTGATTTTTTTGGTGTGGTTTTCCTTTATATTACAGTGGTAATTGCATAAACTTATCTTGATTTTGCTTACATCACTTTGCATCCAATCATACAAGTTATTTCCAAATTTCTCCATTCTTCATTTTCTTTTGTTTCTTAACAATACAATAATATATCATTACATCCACATACATCAAGTTGTTCAGTCACTGCCACATCATTGCATACACGATTTTTGCCATTATGAAAAGTATTGTTATAAATATTCTTTTATGTGTGGAGTTCACAAGAACTCTTACCATTAGGAAGTTTTTCCTTACATCAAGCCTAAATTTGCTTCTGCAACTCAGGTTCATATTTAGAGCTAAAAAGAAATCTAGAAATTTAGAAATCATGTAGAAAATCCCTACATTTTAGCCATGAGGAAACAGTGGTTTTGTGAACCTGGACAATCACTTAACCTCTTTCTGTCCAAGTTTCCTCACCTGTTACAAATCTTAAGGCACTATACAAATGTTAGCTATTACTATTATTACTTAACTTAAAAAGACATAAAATGAGATAAATCTAGTATAATCATTCTTAATAAAGCCATGCAGACTTTTGGATCATTACTTTCTCTTCTACATAGTTAATAACAATCCATTTAATAGTACATATAATATGTCACATGTCCTAGAATTTCACCAAGAACTGAAATTAATGCAGACTAAATATCCCTTACTTTACTGAATATCAGGGCATTTTTCCTTCTCCAGTCCCATGGCACCTGTTTCCATACTCCATGATCTTTCAAAAATCACTGACAGGGGCTCAAAAATTGTTCAGTGCTCTGGGATCAATTTACTCATCATCTTATTTATCTTGGGTTTCAATTCTGCTACATATTTTTATTTGTTTCCAGTCCAAAGATTATTCTTGTTGATAAAGAAAAAGGAAACAAAATAAAGAATAGTTCTGCCCAGGTCAAAAAAAAAGTTATTTTCAGGTCAGAACAAAGGTATGCTTTTTTAGAACTCTTAAATTTTCCTTCAGTGTAGAAAGTTTTATTCAGTTCAAATTTCTTTCTAGATTATAAGAATTATGTGTATATATTTATTGTATCATTAGAGAAAATTTAATATTATTGAGTCACTATATCCAATTATTTTTTTTAATAATTTTGAAACAACCAGCCCCTTAACATTTTACCAGGTAATTGATATCATCACAACATAATATGATTTTAGAAACATTTCACAGCAGCTTTATAACAGAGAATTCTGGCCCCCAGGGTAAATTCAGAAAAGTGGACAGAGAAGAGTAGGAAAGGCAGAGTTCAGAATATAACCCAAGGCCAGTGTGTATATAGTCATTGACCTCAAGTCTCCTGTGTGCTATGAGTCCCCAATCAGGGGAATGAAATTAGTCTACCCTGTCAGGTGCAATTGAACTATGGAAGTCTTAACACACAGGCACAGGAAAGGGGAATAATAGTGGTGGGGCACACTTGTAATGTTGGGAACAAAGGGAAGTATGCTTTCTCTGACCAGGATCCTACATATTGTCATGGGGCTATGTACAACACCAGGCGCAACACCCACAGGATGGAAGTACTCAACACCATGTCGGGGCCTGGAAGAGGTACCATTCTACTATGATAGTGCCCTGTGGCAAACCTTCACTGTTTTCAAGATAATTACAGTTTTACTATGCTACAGGACATATTAGCAAATTAAAAATAAACTTTCCCTGGTATTATGTAGTCTGATAAAATAATAATATTAAATTTGTACTGTAATAACAATTATTATATTCCATGAGTTCAATCAACATTCTGAGATTGCTGTTTTTCCTTCATGCACGTAACTTCCTTTTATATTTGTCCCATTAGCGCTAAGAAACAAGCAAAATAAAAGAGCTCTAGCTAACATAGAAATAAGTAAGACAGTAAGATGTTAGTTTTTAAGAAGTAAACAATTAAAAAAAGAAGTAAACAATTTAGAAATGGCAGTTCATGCATAAAGGTTATCTGTAACTTATGTCAACAACATATCAAACATTTAGCATTCACCTTTTTGTAACCCACTGTGCTAGTCAATAGACAAGGTACAAAATTTAGATAAGATATGATTCTCTGCTCTTAGGAACTTACAGTATAGTCTAATACTGATTTAAGACACAGAGTTAGCTATGATATACATTATGTGGAAAATATACAAAAAGTTACAAAACAAAGCTTTAGATAATATCTGTCTAAGAAGCAACATTGTTACTTCCTGGCAGGAACTGGGAAGGTTTCCTAGAGGAGATGGGATTTCAGACGGGATTACAAGGATGGGTTCAGTAGGCAAAGAAGGAGGGAGAAGGGTATTTGAGGCACTGGAAATAGTTTGAAGAAAGGGGCAAAGTTAAGAGAACATCATTCTTGTCCTGAGGCAAAGAACTATCCAATCTGAGTGGCATGTAGTGGTTCTAGAGAGGATTAATGGGAAATAAGGGTAAGAAAGTAGAATGGTGACAGATGGTAGAGGTCTTGAATAACAGCAAAGGACCTTGTATTTTACTTGGGAGGCAACAGGGAGCCCATAAATACCTTTAAGTAAAAAAGCAACATGATTACATCTATGGATAAACAAGACTATTATGGCAGAGGTATCTAGGATGGCTTGGAGGACAAAATAATGGAAGCAGGAATACCTGTAAAGAGGTTATTACAATATTTTAGACTCGTAATGAATATCTGTTCATGTGAAATGATAGTAGGAAAAGAGAAAACGGGGGAGAGATTCCAGAGATGCTTTGGAGATGGTATCAACACAATAATTTATTAGGTAGAAGATGTAAGGGTGATGATGATCATATAACTAGAAATATATGGCAAATTCAGAGGTCATCTAGTCCAATTCGCTCTAGATGAGGAAGTTTTAGCACTGGAAGGTTATGGGACTTCCCAAGCTTATCCAGGTGATAAAGAGAAGGAAGTATCAAAAACAGCCCCATATTTGCAAACATGGGAGACTAAATGAATTAAGATTAAGTACTGAAGTAAGATTAGGTAAGTGGTAAAAAATGAGGCTTCTGCCTTTCATACCTCATATTTTCAGCTGAATCCTCTGGCATTGGAGCCACAGTTTGTACAGCTGGAAGGTTTTTGCTGGTAGCACCATTCACAAAACTAGAGGAGGATGAGGATGAAGATGACCCTGAATCCACTGCACCTGTTTCCAAAACAATACTACTTTCAGTCTTAAAAATAAAGTTAGTTGTAGATTTAACAGAACAACGCTTAGTTTTAAAGCTTTCTTTTCTGGTTTTGAAAAAATTATCTCAATTTCTAAACAAAACAGTACAGTACTGTTTAAAAACAATTAGTACGCTTCATAATTCTTTATAATTTAAACAGCATTTGCTGCACTAACAATTCAACTGTTTTACATATCTGTCTAGCAAAAACAAATGTTACAAAATGGGATATATTTTAACATAAAATGAAACACAACAGATGAAAATAAACTTCAGCATAAAATGAGACTGATAAAAAAAACTTTCAAAACAATGCAAATTCAGAACCAGGAAATTCCCCTACTTTTGTTGCTATGTTATAAAGTATTTTTTTAATCTTTTAATTAAATTTCTAGGTCTAAATTTTCTACTCTGCAGCCACAAAAAATCATATTGAGAATTCACTTGTTTAAGTTACAGTATATTTGGTTAAATCTTTCTAAGATTTTAAAATACTCTTACATGTTTTCATTATTTTAGAACAGTTGTTAATGATATACTATAGAAGCATAGTAAATAGAAGTGGAGTTGAGGGACATCTAGTGTCTCTTCTTATTATCAAATCATATAGCATTTTCCAAAAAAAAAAAAACTGCTTTGTACTGCATCTTTAAAGATGATATCTGGCAACTGAACCAGAGAAGAGTGGAAATATTCAATTTGTTCTTAAAGACTATATCTAAAACTGACCTCAGCAGATATTCTACAGTGACTGTAACTGAAGAGATAGAGAAGTATTGTGGACAAAATGCTGGACTTAAGAGTTAAAATCCCTGGGTTTAAATCTAACTCTGCCACCTACAGGGCAAGTCACTTAACCTCTCTGGGCCTCAGCTTCCTCATCTGTAAAATGAAGGCCTTGGATTGGATAATCTTTAAGGTCCAATCTAACTCCAAATCTTTATTCCAATGCAACCACTGTATCTCTTATTCATTTCTTGAAAGAGAAACTAACTTCATAGAAACATCAGGATTTGTCTTTCATGAGGCCCACAAAAGGAGGAAATAATTTGTTATATGACCTGTCTCTCAATGAAGATCACAGACAAAAGTAACTGTTACCTAAATCAGTACTATGGAATACATACATAATTTTCCTTAATATCATGTTATATTTTAAAGGACCCATACGGGTAAATGTTTTTAGTACATGATATTTTAATGTGTTCTTTTTTACAATGAGAAGAGTGGGGGGGAAAGGATAAGAAATTGAAGGGAAAGAAGGCTTTCAATCAAATCTTCAGACAAGCTAGATGTTTAAAACAAACAAACAAACAAACAAAAACCTTTACAAAATAGATAAACCCTAACTGACAAATTGTTCTTTTATGTCAGGTCAAAGCTAAATTGTGGATATAATTAAGCTTGATAAAATTAGGAGCACTTTCTCCTGTAACTAGTCCCATAAATGTGTTGTGGATGGTTTGTCAGACTCAAAGGTAGGATGATAAACAAGATACAGAAAGCACAAAATTAATCAAAATGGGAAGGGTCTAAATAATGAAGATAGATGGAAAAGTTTAAGGCTATACAGTTTGGAGAAGAGAAGGCTACTATAGTCAGGGAAGGAAAGGCAGAGATCATCTTGCGTTGTATAAATACCTAAAAGGGAATCACAAAGATTTGGGTAAGGATTTATTTGAACTAAGCATCAACAGGAACATTCCTGGAAATTAAAAAAAAAAAAAGTTAACTTCAGTAGGGCTTTAAAAAATTCACGCTGTGGAATTTTCTGTGATAAAGAATCTTTTGGAAAAGGAAGCCAATGACCTGGACAGCAACATAATCTCAGATTATAAATTAATTCAATGCCAAATAAGGGCTATTCTTGTTAACATGCACTTCATCAATTTTTTTGATCTAGGCTGGAATGTATCCTCTGGGTATATTGCCAGGGACCTTAAGACAATATTGGCTTTCCTTATGGGACTTAGCAGAGACAGTATGATTGAATTATATATCCATATTCACATGGATATATAGATATATAATCTCAAAGCCATTTTCTATCAGTGAAAGGAGTTAGGGTGCTGATTAATGGTATAGTATAACTTCCTGATCTAATTCCCCGTTTACATAATGCTGTCTTAAAGGTTCAAATTCTCAATTGCTTTTGCACCCTATATATCTTTCAGTATGTAGATTTCCCTTTGAAAGTAAATGGCAGTCACTGTTCTGAGAGATAAATGGGGAGTGGAGGAAAAAAATGCAAGCATGGACTTTAAAATAGTAAGCAAAGGATTCTAAAACTGCAAGCAAATCTGCCCCCCCCAATACTATTAACTTTGACTCCCAGAAAAGTCAAAAGAGTCTTTAATTATTCAAGGTGTTTACTTGTACACATCAAAAAAGAAGAAAAGGAAGAAAGAAAACAGAAAGCAAAAGATGAGGGGTCACAAAAATATTTAAGGACAATACCTGTTGTATTAATCATACTTTTTGGTGTAGCTCCAGTAGCAGCAAATATATTAGGTACTGCCTGCAGGCAGCCCACTTCCAGCAGTAGCAGCTCCTACAGTGGTAACAGCCAGACTACCAGGAGGAGCCTTCTTCACAGGCACCACAACACTCCTACAAAGAAAGAAACAATGATGCAATTTACATTGGATTTAAGTTCTACATGCGGACATGATAATACATCAAAATAGCTTGTTTTCAAATTTGTGAAGCTACCTGTATGATAAGTAGAATGTTAAGGGTGCTATAACTAAGGAAATATGGTTAGTTTATTATAAGTTCCATGAGGAAATTATATGTGTAGTATATGGAATTTTCAAATCTTTGGGGGAAAAAGTCATGTAACTTTTAAAAACAAATCTACAGATACTGGAGAAATGTATGCTTAAAGTAGCAAATTCTTAGCTATTAATATAGGGATTTTCCTAATAAGTCTACACAAAATATTCTCCCCCATAATGCATAAAACCACAATAAAAAAAAACAAGCTTTTTATTTCAAGGAAAAGATTTATTTTTAATGAGCCAAAACAGATGCATAAATCGAAGACCAAAATAAGCAGCTCCTACTTACTTTTCATTTATGGGCTCTCTGTCCAAGGGTTACTAACAACCTTTTAACTAGCAAATCTAACGGCCTTTTCTCAATCCTCATCTTACTACTTAACTTCTCTGCTGCCCTCGATCCCCTTCTTTTCTCTCTCCTACTTCTACTCCTACTTATTTGACCATTCCTTTCCAGTCTCCTTTGCTGGATCTTTATCCAGTTCGTGACCACTAATATGTGTGTCACATGCTCTTTTCTCTCTATACTATTTCATTCTGTGATTTCATCTGTTCCCATGGTTTCAATTGTAATCACTATGCTAATGATTCCCAAATCTATTAGTCAGCCCTATCCTCTCTCCTGACTTCCACTCTCCAGTTTCCAAATTCTTTTCAGATATGTCAAACTGGATGTCCTGCAGACATCTTAAACTCAAAAAGTCCAAACTCCTCATCTTCTTCCTCAAACCTTCTCCCCTTCCAAACTTTGTAATTACTATCGAAATCATCACTTTCCTCCCGGCGGTAGATATCCTCTGTAGGCTCACAACATAAGTGCCATCCTTAACTACTTACTCACTCTCCATATCCAATCTGTTGCCAAGGCCTGCACACTTCACCTTTGCAACATTTCTCAAAAAAAGGCACCTTTCTCCTCTGATATTACCACAACCCTAGTGCAGGCCCTCATCTCTGGACTCCTGCTATGGCCTGTTGGGTGTGTCTCCCTGCCACAAGTTTCTCTCCATTCCCTCGATCCTCTACTCAACTAACAAAGTGATTTTCCTAAAATATATATCCAGCCACGTCGCCCCATCTTCTATATAAACTATAGTGGCTCACTTTCACTTCCAGGATAAGAGAAAATAGTGAGGCATTCAAACCCCTTCAAAAACAAGCCCTTTCTCCTCCCCTTTCCAGTTTTCTTATACTGTACACTCCACACTCCAAAACATATTCTCCTAGGGAGATAAGTAGCATAGTGGATTGAATGCTGACCTAGAATCAGGAAGACCTGATTACAAATCCAGCCTCGGACTTTAAGGGCTCTGTGACCCTGAAAAAATCACTTAACTTCTGTCTGCCTCACTTTCCTCAATTGTAAAATGGCATCTACCTTGCAGGGTTACTGTGAAATAATATACGTAAAGCACTTAGCAAGTAACCTCTGTCATGCAGTAGACATTTATTAAATCATTCTTTCTTGCTATCCATCCTTTCTTCCTTCAACAACGGCTTTCTTTCTGTTCCTCAAACAAGATATTCCATTTCTCAATTGCAGTCATTTTCACTGATTGATTGGTCATCATGCATGCAATGCCTTCCCGTATCACCTCCACCACCTTCTACAAGAGGTCTTTCCCAATCCTTAATTCTAGTATCTTCCTTCTGTTGATTATTTTTTATTATTTCTGCACATATCTTGTTTGTACAGTTGTTTGCATATTATTTCCCCCATTAGATTGTGAGCCCCCTTTAAACAGTGACTATCTTTTGCATTTCTTTGTCTCTCCAGTGCTTAGCACAGTGCCTGGCCCATAGCAAGCACTTATATAAATGTCTACTGATTGACTAACTAAACTAGCTCCTTTATTTTCTAAACAAAGGCACTTAGCATTTAGTTTTTCATTCAAAAATAGACATGTTATTATAACATAAAAGACTTCTATACTAGAAAGGAATTACAGCAATATATCACAAGAATCATATACTATCACCAGGTGGTATTTATACCAGGAATGCAGGGCTGGTTCAATATTAGGAAAATCATCAGCATAACTGACCATATCAATAACAAAATAAACAAAAATCATATGACTATCTCAATAGATGCAGAAAAAGCCTTTAACAAAATACATCTATTTCTATTAAAAAACACTAGAGAACAGGAATAAAGGAAGCTTTCCTTAAAACAATAAGTAATATTTACCTAAAACAATTAGCAAGAATTATCTGTAATGGGGACAATAAGCTAGAAGCCTTCCCAATGAGATCAGGTGTGAAGCAAGGATGCCCATCATTACCTCTATTATTCAATATTGTACTAGAAATACCAGCTATAGCAATAAGAGAAGAAACAGAAATTGAAGGAATCAGAATAGGCAATAAGGAAACAAAATTACCACTCTTTGTAGATAATACAATGGTATACTTGGGAATCCTAGAATATCAACTAAAAAAACTATTTGAAATAATTAAGTTTAGCAAAGTTGTAGGATATAAAATAAACCCATATAAATCATAAGCATTTCTTTACATGACCAGCAAAGCCCAGCAGCAAGACACAGATAATTCCATTTAAAATAACTAGACAATATAAAATACTTGGGGACCTACCTGTCAAGACAAATCCAGCAACTATATGAACACAACTACAAAATATTTTTCACACAAATAAAGTCAGATCTAAACAATTGGAAAAAGATTAATTGCTCATGGGTAGGCCAAGCCAATATAATAAAAATGGCAATTCAAGCTAAATTAATCTATTTATTCAATGCCACACCAGTCAAACTACCAAAAATTATTTTATAGAGCTAGAAAAAATAATAACAAAATTCATCTGAAAAAAACAAAACATATAAGATATCAAGGGAATCAATGAAAAAAAAAATGTGAGAGAAGGTGGTCTAGCCAGACCAGATCTCAAAATGCATTACAAAGTGGTAATTATGAAAACAATGTAGTACTGGCTAAGAGTTAGAGTGGCAGATCAGTGGAATAGATTAGGTATACATTATATTATAATAAATGACCATGGCAATCTAGAATATGATAAACACAAAGATCAGAGATTTTGGAACAAAATCTCATTATTTGACAAAAAATACTGGGAAAACTGGAAAACAGTGTGACAGAAACTAGGTACAGACCAAAATCTCTTACTGTATATCAAGATAAGGTCAAAATGGGGTACATGATTTACATATAAAAGGTGATACAATAAGCAAATTAGGAGAGCATGGAATAGTTTATTTGTCAGATCTATGGATGAGGGCAGAATTTAAGTCCAAAGAAAAAAGAGAGAGCATTACAAAATGTAAAACAGCTAATTTTGATTACATAAAATTAAAAAGTTTTTGCACAAACAAAACCAATGTGATCAAAATTAAAAAGAAAGCAGAAAACTGGAGGAAAAATTTTGTAACAAATATCTCTGATAAAGGTCTCATTTCTCAAATATATAGAGAACTGAGTCTAATTTATAAAAATGTACAAGTCATTCCCCAATTGATAAATGGTCAAAGAATATGAACAGGTACTTTTCAGGTGAAGAAATCAAAGTTATAATTCTCTATATCAGTACTTCTTAAACTGAGTCAGACTGGCGAATATGACATAAAAGGAAAATGATAAATGTTGGAGTGGATGTGGGAAAACTGGGACACTAATGCATTCTTGGTGGAGTTGTACATTGATCCAACCATTTGGAATTATGCCCAAAGAGCTATAAAACTCTGTATACCCTTTGATCCAGCAATATCATCACTAGGTCTATATCGCAAAGACATCAAAACAGGGGAAAATAACCTATTCCTACAAACATATTTATAGCAGCTCATTTCGTGGTGGCTAAGAATTTGAAATTGAGAGGATGCCCATCAACTGGGGAACAGCTAATATACAAATAAACTATTCCATCCTCTCCTAATTTGCTTATGGTATCACCCTTTATATGTAAATCATATACCCATTTTGACCTTATCTTCATAATACGATACAGATGTTAGTCTGTACCTAGTTTCTGCCATACTGTTTTCCAGTTTTCCCAGTATTTTTTGTCAAATGTATTGTTATGTAATATTATTGTGCGATAAGAAATGACAAGCTGGATGATTTCTGAAAAACCTGAAAAGACTTACATGAACTGATGCAAAGTGAAGGAAGCAGAACCAGGAGAATATTACACGCAGTAACAGCAATATTGTACCACAATCAACTGTAAACGACTTAGCTATTCTCAGGAATACAATGCTCTAAGACAATCCCTAAAGACTAATGATGAAGCATATTATCTGCCTCCAGTAAAAGAACTAATATTATCTGAATAAAGACTGAAGCATGCTATTTTTCACTTTTTAAAAATTTGAGTATTCTTGTACAAAATGATGAATATGGAAATGTTTTACATGATTGCACATGTACAAGCTATATCAGATTGCTTACCATCTCAGGAGGGGGGATGGGAGGGAAGAAGGGCTAAAATTTGGAACTCAAAACTTTAAAAAAATCTTTGAAAACTGTTTTAACATGTAATTAGGGAAATTTTTTTTAAATATTAAAAATGAAAAAAAAAAATTAAACAAAAAAAGACCCTTCATCAGATACTTGCATTTAATACCAAACTTTTATTTTAAACCCAATTCCTTGAATAAGGGTTTCAATATCTTCAAAAGTTCCTTAGAAACTCTGGTATGATTCTCAGAGAAAAAAATGTTCTGCATTTCATATTATATTAAGCTTAACAATGAATAAATAATAATTAGCAAACCTAGTCCTTTGATTTTTATTCATGATTAAATTCTAAATTATACAGGATTACAAATATCAATATAGTTAATAGCTAAT